AGTGACCCTGTTTAGTGGGGATGGATTTTTATCATCCCTGAGCTGATGAACCTCAGTTGTCTGCTGAATTCCGAAGCCGTGAATTTTGTCACTCAGTCCATTAAGATGATCTCCTGAGAGAGCAGAATAGCAGCTTAGATTTTCTGTGAATGTCACAGGAAGTTTTACAGGCTCTTATGTAAGTGCCCCAGAGCGTGCGCAGGCCCCGGCGTCCTTTATGGGGCCTGGGGGAGGGGCGCAGGTGGGCATTCCTTCACCTCCCTCCCTCTGACACAGGTGGAAACCCAAGGGGCTCACTGACTTCTACAGGCAGCCACCTGGGGTTAATTTTCGCCTCCACTCCCAGGTTTTCCCGCCTCTGGAGTCAGCTTTGATAGATTTAAGAGAAGGGAAGTTTCTAAATTAGGGAGGGGAGGAGGGGTGGTTTTCCTCTGTCCTCTCACAGGTGGGTGGCAGGAATGAATTTGGCTTTAAGGCTCCACCCATCTCCCCGATGTCCCTTTATTTTTCAAGTGTACCTCACTGCAGTGAGAATTGCTTTGAGGGGAGCACACCTTTATCAAGCCTGGCCCTGTTAACTCCGTACCAGGAAGAAAATGACCTGGGGTAGAGAGGCAGAAGTCACCAAGATTTAGATCTCAGTGGGTTTTCAAGAGTGGCAGGGAAAGGAAACATCCCCTAGTAGGGTAGAGAGGCCTTTAAAGGTCCATCACTTTCCAGTGGATGGGAGTCACTAACGTGGGTGGGCCCTCTGCGGTTAAGGAAGTGGGCCGGGTTGTGGGATGAGGGATGCAGATGCCTTTGAATTTTATACCGTAACTAGAAGGGCCTGGGCAATGGAATGAAAAGTTTCTCATCTCCTCGTAGGTCCTGGGAGTGCTCCCGTTGTCTTGGGGCAGAGGTGAGGGTTTGGTTCTGGGGTTCCCCGAGCCTGTGCTTTAAAGTGGATGCAGAGTGCAGGGCTGTCTCCATCGGAAGCCACCTACAGTGGCAGGACACTAGGGGGACTAGTTTTCTGTTCCACCACCGGTGAAGAAAACATGAGGACCCACGTTGCCAAAAGCTGCAGTTCACCTTTAGGACTTGCAAACCCAACTTTTGGTACCCAACTTGGGCTTGCACTAATGAGCGGGTTCCCATTGCCTGGTGATGGGCCTGCTCACATGGAAAGCGAGTTCTGGACAACTCAGAACAGGTGAATTGCAAAGTGTTACTGTGTTATGTGAGGCTGAAAAACTCAGAATCTGGAAGTATTCATGGGCTATATATTTTTGGGAGACAGACCCTCCTGCAAACTCCATCCTTCGGGTATTAGACCACACTAACTTGAAGCTGCCTAAGAGTTTGTAATCGAAACTCCCCTTTTTGGCTTTTGGACCGCACATCTCCAGCAGTCTTCATAAATTCAGGCTTCCTGTGTTCTAGATGGCGTCAGTGTTCGACTCCACTAAACTTGAAATTTCTCACTAACATCCTTTTATAAGTGCACACCTTATATTTATAGCTAACCCTTGAATAACTGGCTTCAAACTGCGTGCATGTGCCTTTATGCACAATTTTTTTCCCCCACGAAATACAGTGGGCGCTTCCTGCCTGCAGGTTTCGCATCCAGGGATTCCACAAACTCTGGTGATAAAACAATATTTTTGCATTCCCAACCGCAGATCCAAAATAACTGTTTTCCATCTGCCATTGGTTGAATCTGCAGATGCCAACTGCCCACTATAGAGTCCAAAGTTATTTGCTGAATTTTCCACTGGATAGGGGTGGGTTCCCCTAAGCGCAGCGTTGTTTTCAAGTGTCAGCTGTCTGCAGTAGCACTTTCAACAGTATGAAATCATTAATGTCCAGGTTTGCATTTTTAACAGTGTTAAGTCATTAGTGTCTATAGAGGTTTCTTCCTGCAGAATTGGAAGATAATTCTATTTTGCCAAAGAACAAAGCCCATTGCCCAGGTTCCTCTTATCCACAGTGGCCAAGTCTCATCAAAGCTGACTCCAGAGGTGGGCAGACAGGACAGGTGAGAGGGAGAGTCCAAGGAGACACGACCCAGTTTAGAATACTGGCACAGAAAATGGCAAATGTTGCCAAGATGTAGGTCTTAGTGGAGTTAAAAGTCCCAACCCAGCACCTGGAGTTAGATTCAGTGTTTGGAGCTTGGGAACCTGCATGAGCTATTATATCTCCCTGAACTCTGGGTCCTGATAGATTGTGGTCCTGATCATTTACAGGTCTGTCTAGCGCATATTTAGGTAGTTTGAAGGGAGCTATTGTTGTGGTCTAGGGAAAGTGGTCAGCATAAAGCTTTATTTCTGCTATTAAGGCTTTATAGATTGATTCTCACAGGCGCAGTATAGCCAAGGGGTAAAGGATCGGAACAGGAAAACACTGTTAAATTTGCCGTTGAGCGTCGACTAGTAAGAATTGGCCTTGGAGAAGAGCTGTCCTTTGGTCCTAAGGCATGAATGGGGTCTTGTGAATTTCAGGGATGCCAGATGGCAGAGGGAGAGCAGAACTTTGAGAGGGGCTGCTGGCCTTCCTTAGGCCACACCTCGGACTTACAGCCACCGGGCAGGACCCACTAGTGTTGCTGAGGCTTGGCTGCTCCACTCCGGGGCATTGGACATCGAGAGGGACTCAGTTCCCCTCTGACCATACTGACATTTGGAGAGCAGTAGGCCGCAGCCAGTTAAGGCTTCATTAAACATATTTTAGAAGACTTTTTGTCTTTTAACTCAACAAATAATCATCAAACATCTATTATGGGGCAGGTACCAGGCTCTGTGTGGAGGCTCCAGAGGTTCCGCGTTTAGTTGGTAAGTCTTTTTAGGGGAGGCAGACATTGAACCCTTACCACGCGCTGAGTGTTATTGTACAGGTTTGTTCAAAGGACGAATTTGAAATTGCCAGGATGGTAGAAAGAAAAGGCATCCCAGGCAGAGGAACAGCGTGGAAACCTTCACGTGTGTAGTGTAAATGGGGAATAGCAGTACTTCGTGTGGCTGGAAGATGGGATGTTTGGAGGGAAGCAAGCTTGACGTTAGAGGGAGATCATTTAATAGGATTCCGTGCTGAGTGCAGTCCCTTCGCTTCATGCTCTGTGTATGCAAGTGGTGGTGAGAACGGTGGCTGGATAAGATCTAGGAGTCCTAGCTGATCGTCCCACGTTGCTATGAAACACAGAAAAATAAAATTTCTTACTTGGTCCTTTATTCGCCTATCTATGGCATTTTGCCTGTTCTTTAACAAACTATTAGCCATGCAAATAAAGAAAGGGTCCCTTATGTACCATCAGTCTGCCCTCTGGTGTGCATGGATCACATCTGGGCCTTTCAGTATGTGATTATGCAGCCGTGGGAGAAATGACGGTGTTCCTGACAGATGATACACTGGG